GTGAGAGAAAGAAGAAGAAGAAGAAGAAGAAGAAGAAGAAGAAGAAGAAGAAGAAGAAGAAGAAGAAGAAGAAGAAGAAGAAGAAGAAAGGGTAATGCAAGGATTGTATTGTATGAGATTTCAAGAATTTCTGAAGTCTAGAAGATGGAGAGAGCGCCGTAAAACACTTTACAAAAACAAAACAAACAGGAGAGAGTCGGACAGACCTTGCGGGCCAAACTTCTGATCGGAAATAATAATGCTATGCTATTGGAGAAGGAAGAAGGAAAGAAGGAGACTTTAAAAAGTATTAAAAAAACAACCCCCAAACAAAAAGGCTGAAAACGAAAAGAATTAGCATTGACTTCAGAGTTAGCGCGTGGACGATCGAGCGATGGCGGTTGAGTGAGTATCCGCGAACCGTTCGTGAGCCGTGAGCTGGGCACGCGCGCGAGGGAGTGAGTTCCCTGGTCTCTCGCTCACTCTCCCGCTCTCTATGTCTCTGTCTCTCTCCCTGTGTGTGAGTGTGTGTGTGTGTGGTGCGAGTGTCTCCCCTTCCCCCTCCTCTACCGCTTCAGCGAGGGGCCGGCGAGCGTGTTACTCCCTCTATTGATTCATTGTTTACACACAGGCAGACATACACACACATACAGACACACACACACGCGCGAGCGCGCGCCAACACGGTGTCAGGCAGCACTGCGTCTCTCACTCCACTCACTCACTCACTCATTCAGTTATTCACCTATTCACTCATTCACTCACCACGTGCGTGTGTGAGAGGAGTTGTGGCTGGCAGGATTGTGTCTTGGATTCTACGTACCCCGCACACCCCCACACACATACATACACACTCGCGCGCTCGCTCACGCACGCACGCGCACGCTTGCTCTACCCTCCCCCCACCCCAGCACAACAGCTGACGCGCGTGTACTGGAGTGTGTCCGCGCGCGCGTGTCCACTCGCGACGACAACTTGTTCACGTTCTTGGATTGTCGCCGTTCGTCGCTCCATCGTCTTCATCATCATCTTCGCCATCGTCTTGGTCATCATTGTCATCGGCTGACCGTACTTTACGCCTGCAGCACCACCACCACCAGCTTTCTTCTCAGTGCAGTGTGTGTCTGGTTTTCCTCATACCGAGTTCACAAGCTGTCAACATGAGCTCCTGGTATCCGCCGTTACAGGCCCGTGTCTCTTCGCTCTGAAGATACCACATTTCTTAAACTTGGATTACGTACTTCTACGGTTTGGGCTGATTTAGCAGTGAGCTTCAGTTTTTGTAGTCACGTCTCTTTTCTTGGTAGATAGATCTCGATATTGCACGTGTGCGTTAGAATGCTGTACCACTCCATTGTTCTTGGGCCCGATATATACGCACACAGTGTCGACTGCCACTTATCACCTTTGTCTTGTAGTGTTTAAGATGATGTGTCTATTTTAAGTACACTTTTGTGCAACTCTGTCCAGTTTGCTCTGTGGTAGGTGAGCATCTGGTTTCTTACTCTAGGTTGTAAGATGATGTAAATGATAATAATAATAATACGAATAATAATAATAATAATAATAATAATAATAATAATAATAATAATAATAATGTGCACATCACGAACTGATGATGACCTTTAACATCCAAGGAGGAAGAGGAGTTCGAGATTTCTAGCTGTGTAATGAGAGTAAAATGAAGGAAACGTTTTCAAGCGACTTTTAATGATCACAAAATGCCACAAAAATAGATTTTACGTTCCTGTTAAATCGGTTCATCTAACTCAAACATTTCATAAATCCTTCCATGTCATTTAGATCTCTAGCAGTAGTAAGGCTCGTGCTGACTTCCTTTGTGCATCGACCTAGTGCTAGGATGCTGCAATACGCCACTCGCCACGTTGACCTTTAGTGTCTTGACGACTCCTAGTGACAAATCGCTTCTTGGTGTGTGTGTGTCGTTAGACACTTGCGCGTGTATCTGCCACTCGCGAGAATCATTGTCCTGTATGCCAGCCAGCCAGCCAGTCAACCTGTGTAGTTGAAATGGTTTGACTCTGCTCTGTGCCGTAGGCGCATGAAGGCCTGTAATCGAATTCCCATAACGGGAAGGTATTTTATCGAGTATCTCTTTTTTTTCTCTCCCCTCAGAGAAGTCGCGTTCCACTTAGCCTGATTTAGCACTGACATGCAGGGTCGAAACTCCCAGCCTCCCTTATGGTTCAAGTAATGTCAGATATGTCTAGATCTAGATCCTTTAGGAATATATATATAGTCGAACCTGCTCTAACGATCACCCGTCCAAGACAATTACTTGTACAAACGACCCCCCCACCACCCCCCCTGCGTTTTTTTCTGTTCTGTAAATAAAGGCACCGTTGAATGACACAGACCACCTGTTTAAGACAATTACTTGTACAAACGACTATTTCCCGCTTCCCCCCCTTGCGTCTTTTCAATAGTATAAATATTATGACACAGTTTACAATCAGTAAATACTGAGTATGTTTCAAGCTTAACATTATTATTGTTTATATTACTGATCATTTATGTTATGCATGTGACTGTAAGCCTGCGTGTCTGCGCATGTTTGTTCGTGCGTATGTGCGTGCGTGTGTGTGTGTGTGTGTGTGTGTGTGTGTGTATGTGTGTGT